AATCCTCCCAGTCTAGATTGTCAATTGACCATACACTCCAGAAAGGAAAAGAATATGTCATTATGGATGAGTTTGTGTCCTCGTTAAGTAAATTAATCAATATGCAGCATTCAGATATTAACATTGACTTTCCTGATTTAATCCAAGGTAATTAAACCTAACCTCCCTTTCAAAAAACCCACCTCACTGCAGATGCTAATACATACACTCTGCCTGGTTGACATTGTTTAACTCAGGGATTCTCAAGGAGTAATTTTCCAGGCAATAGTATCAGCATCACCTGGGGATTTGTTAAAGATGCAAATCTTGGCCTTTACCCTTACCTAATCAGAAACTCAGCAGGGCAAGACAGGGGATAGAACTGTGTTTAAAACAAGGCCTTCATGGGTTTCTGATACATACTCACGTTTGAGAACCACTGGATTGTGTCACAATTCTTTCCATCTTTTCCACATGTGGCTCTTCTCTCAATCACTCTATTGAGTTTCAGAGAACAAAACAAGTGATTACTAATGTTCAACGTGTCCTGGATACACAAACCTTATGATTAAATGTAACCCATCATAATTATCTCTGGTTATGCTATGTGGTTCAGTCCCCCTCTACTGTAAAAGGGGAACCAGTAAGAAGGGTCATATAAGATATCTGAGGATGATGGGAAGCAGTGAGAGGATGGTAGGGAGTAGCAATGAAGAACCTCTTACCTGAGATAGCAGCTGACAGAGCCAATCCAATGCTAGTAGTCGTCCCAAAGATTGACCAAGATAAAAACCAAATTGATAGTCCAAAAGAGGATCACCTAATACAAGAGAGAGGAGAATGTGGGAGCCAAAAAGAGGAGAAACTACAGGAGTTGATGAAGGATAGGCGTTTAAGAGCACAACATAAACCTATCTAATGGAATTCTTGAGATCAGTACAAATACCCATGTTAGCTTTTTAAATTATCATGCTAAATTGCTTTGGCATTTGAGGGGCATTTTTTAAAGCCTCCCTGAAAATCTACAGGATTATCAGTAGACTTTAACAAGTACCCTTGGTGGGTAACTCCCCAGGGAGGCTCTTCCTTCCACAGGGTCGGTAGGTCTAAGAACACACAAGGTATTTTTTGGCTTCCCTATATTTTCACTGGTGGAAGTCAGCCCATTCACACCTAGTGAATAGAAAAAAAATTGGTTTAGTTTAATATTACAGTAAATCAAAAAAGGCAGATGGCTGCATCTTCTAGGAGCTATCTGTACTCCTGCCTAAGAATCGGCCTCATGAGCTTGGTAGAAAGACACTTTGCTGGTTATTCTTTCTTGAAAGACCAGAAATTTTAGGAGATTTAGATTTCAGGAAAACAATCCCCTAATTTTTAAGGTTTTTATTCCTCTTGTTTTCCACCAATAGCGCAATAATCTCATTTTAACAGATGTCAGATAATCACGTTAGTCTCAAAGGGGAACATCTCTGAGATTTCTGGCACATGAAATATGAATTTCTCTGATAACTGCTTCAGCTCCTCATTTAGGTAGCCGTTTTATGTAGCAGGATTTCTATTCTTTCCACTGATGTATTTCAAGATAATTTAGATGCCTAATTTTCAGTTGTCAGTGAAAAAAAAAACAAACCCTTTGACCAATTCAGTTTAACAGAGTTTAACTGGGCAAAGAAGGATTCATGAATCAGGTAGTCCCCCAAACCAGAATAGATACGGAGAGGTTCCAGCACTGCCACATGGTCAGAAAGGATTTATGGGCGGTGTGCAGAAAGCAGAAGTAAGGCACAGAAACAGCCAGTTTGGTTACAGTTCGGTGTTTGCCTTGTTTGAACACAGTTTGAACATTTGGCTGTGAGTGGCTGAAGTATGCCTGCTGTGATTGGCTGAGAGTCAGCTGCTTGTTACAAGGGTAGGCTACTGACACATCGAGTTAGGTTACAGTTCACTATGTATGGGTAAATCTTTAGGCCAAACTTAAAATATGCAAGGGGCAACTTTAGGCTAAATTTAATTCAATAGTAGTCATCTGATAGATATTTCTCAAACTACCTATGATTAAAAAACAGTTATATTTTTATAATTTCAGATCTACCATGGTTCGATATTCTTGTAAACTTCAATAAAAATGAATTACTAGAAAAATTATCACACTTGGATTTCACGACAGTGTCAAGTTTCTATAAAAAAAGAAATGCTTACGCTCTATTTCTGTGCTTTTGAACTTTTGAACTCTGTCAGATTATAGGCAAACACAGCTTCACTGGTCACACTGCGATTGGCAGTGATATAGATACTGTACACATCTGCAGATTGATAAGATTATTCAAGAGCTCTAAAAGGCTGGAACTACCAATGGTGTTGCCAAAGCTCCATTCAATAGACATCTAGATTTGGACATTTCTCCATCAGACATTCCTCTGACGACAGTTACGTGAAGCAAGGAAGACAATAGGTGACAAATTGATCTATACACAAATGCTAACATCACTGAGCTGGAATTTTCCTCTCTGGTAAGTCCAGGTAAGTTTACTTACCTACGAACTGCCATTCTGTTTCAAGCCTTTCTCTTTCTAAAGTGGAGAACCCTGAATAATATCGTGGATGTGCTTTCTGATTAGTTTGTGGATTTTTTTTGCTTATTTTGTTTGTCCTGGATCTAGTCAGAGTGGAAAAGAGGACTGTGGTGAGAACTCTAGGTTGAATGCTCTTCTTTTATAATCCTGAAATGAAATTCAGTGCCATCAACTGGCAGATAACGATGCGTGAAGATTTGAACTGTACTGAAAGAAAAAATTCAGAACAGTTTTTTAAGTTTAGACTCTTTTCACTATTCAAAATAGCAAAGACATGGGGTCAACCTAGATGTCGATCACTGGTGGATTGGATGAAGAAAATGTAGTACATATACGCCACGGAATACTATGCAGCCAAAATAGAATGAAGTCATGTCTTCTTAAGCAACATGGATGCAACTGGAGGCCATTATCCTAAGTGAACTAACTCTGAAACAGGAAACCAAATACCACATGTTCTTACTTGCAAATGGGAGCTAAGCATGGGTACTCAGGGACATAAAGATGGCAACAGAAACTGGAGGGTACTAGAGGGAGGAGGGGCAGGGGCTCCAAAACTAACTATTGGATCCAACGCTTGGTACCTAAGTGATGGGATTGATTGTACCCCAAACCTCAGCATCACACATATCCCCAGGGAACAAATCCGTACATATACCCCCTGAATCAAAAATAAAAGGTGAAATTATAAAAAATAAAAGCCAAAATAAACTCTCTTGGAAATCTTTTAAAAAAACATGTGTTCTTTTAACTGTGCTTCAGACAAGCTAAAAGGGTGAGGAGAAGCATGTCAAAATTAGAAATTGAACCTCAGAAACCCAGAGCCAGGGGAACCCCTGGGAAAGAAGACATCTACAAAATTAGTGCACAGCAACCTGGATTCTAGAGAGGATTGTTGAGTTCAGTTTAGAGATGAGAACTGCTAACTCCCAGAACTTAACAACTTATGGTAGGCTTCTAGTAAGAATGGGATAAGCAGAAAAGAGACAGAACATGGACTTCTATCTACATGGAGCAGGTGAGAAATGACAGTGAAGGAGTTGTGCCACGCTGCAGGATTTAAGCAATGAGAGCTGCATGCAAAACACAGGAATTCACAAAATGGCAATATGTTTTCAGGGTACAGATAATAATTAGCAAAAGAGAAACAGAGACAATGGAAGTGATGCAAAGTCCAATAGGTGATATTGGGTGATATTTAAAGAACAGACAGGCATCTGGGAATTCTGCCTGATTCTGAAGAACTAGCACAGGAGATCCCAAGCGCTGGGTCGTAGACCAATACCGGTCTGCGGCTTGTTAGGAACCGAGTCGTACAGCAGGAGGTGAGTGGCAGGTGAGCAAGTATTACTGCCTGAGCCCTGCTTCCTGTCAGATCAGCCACAGCATTAGATTCTCATAGGAGTGCAAACCCCATTGTGGACTGTGCCTTCGAGGGGTCTAGGCTGCACTCTCCTTATGAAAATCTAATTATAAATGTAATGTGCTTGAATCATCCTAAAGCCATCCTCTCCCTCCCCTGACCTTGTCTTCCAAGAAACTGGTCCCTGGTGCCAAAAAGGTTGGGGACTACCAGACTAGTGGGATAGGCAGAGTCTTAGTTTTAACAGAAACGTACATCCTCAGAAAACAAAAATTAGCTCAGACTGAGAGAGTAAAAAATCTGCCCGCTGTTTATCAGACTACATTAATAGATGTATATAAAGACAGCTGCAAACTGAGCAGGAAATAATATTTCTCTTAAGGATGTTGAAGCCATAAAATAACAACTCCCTTTGTTGAATGACTCCTGCCTTATTAGTCATTAAGAAACTTTGTTTCTTTCAAAATTAAAGATTATCAAAGACTTTGTTGTTGTAGATTATACTGGTAAGAATGAAACACTCCATTCTTGCCTGGAGAGTCTAACTAAGCTCCTTTGACCCACAGAAGCATTCTCAATTTACAACCCAGGTGCAGAGAGATTCAGATAAGGGGTTTCTGGATACAGCAGTCCATATTCATCTTAACTTTGTACATTTCAAAGAAACAGGAGCCTGGGTCTATTTCATAGTCCAAATCCTTATCCCTACCTTGCTTTGAACCTTTCAAACACTGCTTCATTTAAATACCATCTAAATTCCATGCTTTCCCGCAATCTTATAATAACTCTATCTTTTCATTTGCTGAGGCATCTCCTGCTCTGGTCCACAGTCGCCTTCATTGCATTGGGTCCATAAACTCAACTGTATCAGGTAACAGTTGACACAGCTTGCTCCTGGTGTTCTCAGGCTGATTGGGCTGGGGAAATTCTCATCCATTTACCAGAATAGTATGAAGAAGCTAGTCAGAAGCGAAGTTCGAAGATAAGGTGACTCAAAGAGAATTGTTGCTTTGCGACAAGGTCCAAGTCTACTTATAAGATACTAGGATAAGACAAGAAATAAGTGTGCCATCGCACCATACCTCAGTGTTGGTCTATTGCTCTTGCCTTCAGTTCTGACTGGTCTCAGAATAAGAAGATGGAGTTAGAATAGCAAAGAAAGATTCAGTGATTTCAACTGAGGAACGTGCCAGGAAGGTAGGAACCAGCTGGTTGAGACTGAAATCCAGGAGTGTGCAAAAAAGACCAGTGATATAAGCCCAAACACAGCAGTCCCTGGGCAGAGGGTTTGTCTGGGTTCTCACAAAGGGAGATGCCTGGGAATTAAAATCTGCAAAGGGCAAAGAGTTTCCTCCCCACAGAGCTTTCTTAACCTCTTTGAAGAGAAAAAGACCAGGGAGGAAAATAAGGAAACAGAGTAAAGGAGAGAGGGGTAGGGCAGGTGGCAAAGTCCAAAATAATAAGTTTGGGAATAAGTGAAGTGCCTTCTGATCAAGCTCTATAAAGTCAGTGTTTCACGCTACAGTGGGAACTGGGAAAACCCATGGAAAACAGGTTTAGTCTTAAGTATTGGTGATCTTTAGACTTTGCACTCTTTTTCTGAGCTGCAAGACTGCCCCATGGGAATTGACTTTTTTCTTTAATTTTTCAGCATCTGAACCCAAGATCCCTGTTCAGAGGGTAGAGGATGGGAACATTGTGTTGTTGGTTTGTTTCAGTCTCTAGAGGATTTGCTTCCAAGCTGCAGTGAATGGATCACTGTGAGAACACAATGATATTTTCATCTATGACTGAACTAGTCTATTCTGTTCCTGCTCCTTTTAGGGAGAGGAAAATTGTTCCTGGTTATTTTGGTCTAAAGTGTTTCAAAATTTCCATTATAAAGCATAAAGCAAGTTTGACTTCTGGGAAATTATACTTCAGTTAATAATTTTAAATGCATTTGTATGGTGAGGTATAACTTTATAAATGTTATCTTCCTATGTAAAAAATAGATTTTATAAACAACAACAAAAAACCTGTCACCGTATTTCCTGATTGGTGGCATGAGTCGATGCAGAAGGAACTCTCCAGTCAGATGGTGAAGACAAGACCACCTCTGAGAGTAAGTTTTCAGATCTTGTCCTCAGTCATAAGTGGAGTAATCCATGCAGCCAGAGAGAAATCTTGAATTTCTAACAAATCCACCAACACCATCATGATCGTCTCTTGTTCAAGAGTGACTGTTTCCTTGGCGCTTTTCCTGTGGTACAGACAAATCTAGAAACACATTCCACTGCCATTCTTCCCTGACCCCTCTGCACATACATCCTTCTTTCTTTCTTGTTTTTTTTTTTTTTTTTTTTTTTTGCACTTAATTTGCTTTTTTTATCTCTGCTTCAAAGTGGGAAAGAAACTTAGAGGCTTCTAAGGAAAAAAGTGAATGTGAAAAAGTAAATATAAAATGATTACTAGCAGTAATTATTTTCTAAAGCAATGGCTTTCGAACTTTTAAAACTACAACCAACAGTAAGAAAGCTATTTTACATTAGGTCCTACTACATGTACACTTAGACATATTTGTGTGTGTGCATATATAGATAGATATGATCCAGCTTCACAAAACAGTATACTATAATTTTTCTTTTTTATTCTTTTATTTTATAAAATATTTATTGTTAGTCACTAAATTGGTATGATCTACTAAATGAGTGGCAGCCTGCAGTTTAAAAAGTACTGTTATTGTGGGCAATATTAGCAGGCAGAGTCTTAATCTTTATTCCAGAAAATAACTCACAGGAAACTTTGCTTCCTAATACCAGACTTCTTGTGTTCAAAGGATCTACTTTTGCAATGTTCTTTCGTAGTGTGTCTGCTCCATTCTCGCCCTGAACATCCAGAAGTCAATGCAGATGTTATTGTATAAGAAAATCAAGATCATTTCTTTGTTATTTCTGATATCAACCCTAGATTCTAAACATCCCTGCCCTCAAATATTTCTTAAGGTAAAATCTTTATAAGCACTGACCAGATATTGATCCAGGTTAGTCTCTTACCGCAGGCAATATCTGCAGAAACTCTTATTGGACTGGAAATGGCTTAGAACATGATGGAACAATAAGGGCAGATCAAACCTTATGGCACTTCATAAAATGAAATCAAGCACATCTGTGAAGAAAAATGAAGTTGATCCGTGTGCTATGAACCAATATTTAAGGCGTTTGTTAAATTGAGAAAAGCTAGATGAACATATTGTATATAGTAGACTTCCACATGTTTTCAAAAGGGGAATGTATGTGCATAGACTATTTCTGAAAGGCTCCACAAAATATTGGTGATAGGAATGGCGTATAGGCAATAGGCAAGAGAAATAGAGGGCTGGGAGTCTAGAAGGGTCAAGGTTTAATATAAAACTTCTGTAGACCTTTTTATGGTGTTTGTTTTTAATTTTGTGCATATACATATATTCCTTTTTCAATTAAAAATAGCTAATTTTAAAAGAAATATTATACAACAGATTTTGTGATAGAAGGGGTATTTGCAAATTCTTTAGGATGAAGAGAATTTTCCTTGTGAGCAATTGTAGAAATGGATGTTTATTATAACACTGAGATTTATCTCCTTCATTTATGTATCTTGTATAGTTTACAGAGTTCCATGTCCATTGCCTGACTTAGCGTTTATAGCCACCTTTTGAAATAGTTGTGACACATACCGGAAGCAGTGCTTTACAAACTAAAACAAAACAAAACAAGAAAACCCTAAAATACAAAGAAATTTAAAACCTAGAACATATTTTAAGGAAAGAAGTTCAGAGTCATGATGTGGCTGTGATGTGGTAAAAACCTGGACATTTTACACTCTTAAGAGTTACCAAGAAGTTTATGAATAATATTTTAAAACTCTTCAACAATATCTCTTACAATGTTGATCCCTTAACTAAAGAACACTTGCATAGAGGAGAAAGAAGGCAGAAAAATAAACCTCCTGAAACTCTTTTTATAAAATATGCCTGTTATTAGAAGGTAAATTGTCAACTACTGGTTTAAAATTAACATTAAAGAAGTTGTGTTCATAATTTCACTCTACAGATTTTCAGCTTTGCATTAGAACAAAGCTAAAATAATTGTCTCATGGAAAAAGATGTATATTTCAAAGCATCACTACTAAACCTTGAAAAAGACCCTTAAGCTTTATGGGTTAGGGTTATAGTATCTCCCAGTTTCCCTGGGACAATCCCAAATTATATCTCCCGCATCCATATAATTACTCATAGCACCCCTTTCATTCTCCAAAGTGCCCTAGTTTAGATGATAAACTATATCTCCACCCTATTAAATGTTCATCTCTATTCTCATACACTTTAAGATTGTTATTTTCTAGGAATTGGGCTTCATCTTGGACCTAACAATTACCTTCATTCATGCCAAAGCTGAGTGATACATACTCAGATTGTAACTGCGTAAAAGAGTTTTCCAAACCATTCCCCAGCAGCCACTTTAGCTTTATTAAAGAGATGAATAGTGGGAAGGGTAGCTCAGTGTCTGGTTAGGAAGTTTTGGTATGTTCAGGTTTTCAAGAGAAATGTGAACTAAGAATGACTTGGTGAGACTGATGTAAAGATAAGTAACTGATGCCATATAACACAGTTCTAAACGTAAGAGTTCAAAAAGTCATGCTCTAATTAGAATTCTCTGGGTCGGCAAGTCAAGGTGGTATTGATCTGTGTTAATCTGAGTAACTTATTGCCTAGCCTATAAATAAATTCCAAAATATCCAATTCAAAAAAAAAAAAAAAAAAGTGATGCTCCTCCAGAGTCATTCATGTGTCATTTATTGGTTAACATTTAGAGTGGCTCCTGGGAGTAAGACACTGTTCTAAGCACTGCATCAGGTTTGCCAATAGTTTTCAGGACTTTGTGCTAAATTTCCTGTGGTTTGCTGAGATGTATCTTTTTTTACACCACATTTTAACATCAGACGTTATACATCAGATTACGGATCAGATTTTATACACCAATTCATCTCTGAGCTCTTTTCTGACTAGCACTCTTTAAAATTTCTGTGATTTATAACTACTCTATTTGATTGTTAGAAAGATTATTCCCATGGCCCAGATAGGTTGAATAGTAGCTGCAATATTTTTCATGTAACAAATGTATTTCTTCCATAGAACAAGCAACTAAATCTGAAGCCAAGTTGGCTATCACAGAACAGCATCTTTTACTCAGCACTAAGCAGACCACCTCTCCAGAATACATAACTATGGAGATCTAAGGCAATGCCACAGGTTGCTTTTAAGATGTGTTCACCTACTACATTCTCTGAAGCACACAGCACTTAAATTGAAGTTATCATGTAGTGATTACTTGAGGTTTCTGTGTGAAGTATTAAAGAATATTTTAATTGTTCTTTTATGTTTAGATTTACACTTTTAACAAAATATTTTCAGAACATGAATATTAACAGGCATGTACCAAAGGTCATGCATTCAGAGTCTCTCTCTGCAGAAGTTAGGCCTTGGTTCTGATTCCAACTGTTTGACTTGATTCCCGTAGTTGTTTTTGTGGATGTTTACATACATCTCCTGTTTATTTCTCCGATTTCTTTACTTTCTTGGAAATCTTTTTTCCTATCCATTACCAAACTTTTACAAAAGGAATCTTGTGGGTTTTTCTTTTGTTCTAATCATCACTTGTTGAGTGGTTACTGTCACTGCCTTCACTGTCACTACTGTCATTGTCACTTCCATTGTTGTTGCCATTACCAGATTTGCTCTGGCTGTTGTCACTGCTATCGCTGCTGTCACTGCTATCACTACTGTCACTGCTGTCGCTGCTATCACTGCTGTCACTGCTATCGCTACTGTCACTGCTGTTG